TGGTACTTTTATCTACAATATGACACCAAGTTTTTGATTTTTCGTCGCACGGTTTAGTTTTGGGAAGCGTTTTTGCAATGCGCCCTAAATTCGGACATAGGCTTTTACATGCAAAAGGGGCAACTGTCCGAATTTAGGGCACATTAAAAGCGATCTTTAAGCAGTTCTGGCGACTAGACTATACTAGATACGAAAATTTGGAAGATAGGGTAAGGTCAAATTTTTTCATGAGGTTTCTATAACCTCCAAAAAAATTTCACTTTTCATAATTTTTCAAAGCTGTCCGAATTTAGGACGCATTGGTTCCTAAATACGGACACGATTCAAACAGCCCTCACCCCTCTACCGTTAGCGCGAAAAAATATTTTCGGAGAGTGGTAGGTGCGTCTCGACGTGAGGATTCTAGAATCCCCAGCGATTTTTCATATTTCAAAAATTCTAGATATCACAGGCGTTTTTCCTCAAAAACCGTCCGAATTTAGGGACAATGACTGTACCAGAACACTTTCCGAAAATAAAGCCATGGGAATGGGCGGGCACGAGCACGGGTTAAGGAAGCTGGCGAAGCTGGCCACCACCACCACCGCTGCTGGCGCCAGCTCCCATGTCCGCGGCGCCGCCTCTTCCTCCGCCGCTGCTGCGCGCTGCTGCTCCCCGACCGTGGCGGCCGGCACCGACGTCACCACACCACCCCCGCGGCACTTTCTACCGCGAGACAGGTGCGCGGCGCGGCAGGGCCTCCAGGGCCTCCAGGTGTTGTTCTCCTACAATGGGACGAAACGATGGTGGTCGGGGTCGGGGCGGCACCAACGGCTTACTGGTACCAAAGATGTGAGAAAGATGTACTTCCCGAGTACAAGAAACAAACAACACATTTGAACCCTTGAAAATGCGGTATAAAAATATCTGCCTCCTCTGTTTCAAAAGTTTTGCAAGTAGCGAAGCTTGCGTTTTCCGTAGACAAAGGATTAGTTTCGTTCGCAACCTACAAAGTGAATGCTTTGCATTGCTAAGCCATTCTCCGCAAGCATTCCCGAGAGCAGCGATGCGGACGCCGCCGCCAGAGGCTCAGAGGCGGTGACCAGTGTGCGCGCAGTGCTTCGGGATGAGTACATCGAGAGGCTTAAGCTCCGTTCATTAACCGGTTTATCATCATCATCCTCAGCTTTTCTCTCTGCCGCCCCCCCCCTCCTCCTTTTCCCCGGTTTTCTCTCTCTCCTTTTCCGTTGTAGGAATTCCGCCCAGCAGCAAAGCGGAATCGAGGCGACGCCCTCGCCTGATGACTATCGCAAAGTTTGGCCTCATAGGGTTTTTTCTTCATTTTCGTTTATCCTTAAATGAAGCACGTTGCAGCAGAGTTCCGATAAGCCCGACAAACGGGTTGTTGATAACGGGCGGCGGGGGAAATGTTGCGTTATTCCTTCTCTGCGCTTTGCAGTTGAGCTTGTCTGCAGGACAGAGCTGGGTGCGTACAGGCAGTGCCAGGAGGGGCGGCCCTGTAATCAAATTAAGATTGACTCGCGGCCCGCGGCCCGAGCACCTGCCGCTCCCGGGCGCCTCCGGACCCCAGCCACTTCCTCTGCGGGGCGGCCACCGGGGTTAAGCCCCGCGCCAACAAAGCAATAACAATAAAAAGAAAAAGCACCCCGCTACGTGAGACAAAGACACTGAATACCCGGTCATTACTATTCCACGTGAAGTCAAGAGACTTTTTCTTAATAATTGTTCTGCCCTGCCCCCCCCCCCTCTCCCTCCCACGCGCACTTCCCAGAAACATTCTTCCATCCATCCATCAATAATGCGACACGCCTGAGCGCCCTCCGGCCGGAGGGAGGAGGGGTCCCGAGCGGCCTCCAGCGCCGCGGCGACGGGCTGCAGCAGCTTCCGGCCGGAGCGACGCCGACGGCGAGTAGTTGAGGAGTTTGGACGTGTACGACCAGCTAGAGCAGTCCGGTGAGGGGCGGGGCGGGGGGCGTCTTAGCCACGGGGGGTCACCCCGCCCACCGGACCGGCCCCGCCGCGGGCCGCGACGTGCTCGCGGCAGTGTAGGTATAGGTAAAGAGTACACGGCGCGCCCAGCGGGCGGACGCCTCTTTAGACACGGCGCGGACCTGACGTGGCCTGGGGCGCGTCGCGCCTCTTCCCCGCCCCGCCCCCCGGCCCGCCCCGCTGGGTCACGCCCGCGCCTCTTCGAGATGCCCCGCACGTCCGCCGCCCCCCATCGGCCCGGCCCGGCCGTGTCGGCGACGCCCCGGACGCAAACCACACGCGGCGTGAACGAAATGTGTTTGTCTGGCCGCGAGGCATATACTACATGTTCGACTCCTCGGGGCAGGCGGGGCGCGGCCGGGCAGCAGTGACATTCCTCCCGAGAGTGGCGCTGAGGGTAAAAGTGGTGCGGCGCTCCGGGCCGGCCCGCGAAATTGCGCAACAGGTGGATGGGGCGATAGCGGCCCGGCCCGTGACGGACGGGTCGGCGCATCAGCATCACCTGCGCTCGCACGCCACCATGGCGCTCCCGTGCACGCCAGCTAGCGCCTGCCCGCGCCAGCGTGAGGGGGGGCGACGCCCGCCAGCACCACGCACCAAGGAGGCAACTACCACTATCGATTGCACCCGCTTTATGGGAGCAAAACGGAGCCGAGGGGGCGGCAGGGCAAGCAGGGCCAAGCGCCGCCCGGCCGTGAGCCTGACGTGAGCCCGGGTCTCTTGGACGGCTTCAGCAGAGGGGTCTACCTCCCGCAATCCCTGGAACAGGGTGCGGGAGCTAGGCCCGTGTGGCGGAGCGGAAGTCAAGTCCCTCTCCAGCAGGCAGCAGGTCCCTCCTCCTCCTCCGGGTGGCCTGTTGTTGGCCCCAGGCGATAACGAAACGCTTCCCTGCATGGCCGGTGAGGATTAGACGAGGACGAGTGTCGGTGACGCAAGCCCGCGCGTCCCCAGCTCATCTCGCCGTGCGTGGTGGTGGCGACGGTGTGCACGGCGCACGACACTTCCATGTCGGCCAACAGCCCAACCAACACACCTGCAGCCTGCGGCTCTGCCCAAGGAGCTCTGCGCTCGCTCCAGCAGGGGGAGGCGACGGCGACGCCTGCCCGCTCCAGCCCGGGCGAGGAGGGCCGAGCCCGACGACTGTCATTAGACCACTGAATGCATAACGACTCGCTCCAGATGAGCCGGCCCCGGCCCCGGGCTGGAGAGTCATTCAAGTGTCACTCCGTCGCCTTACCGCGCCGCGGATGGGCCACGCGCATCGCTCCATCTCCACCCCTTCCCCCTTCCCCCCGGTCAAGGGTCGAGACGCGTGGACGGGGGAGAAAGAGAATAATAATAAATAAAAAATAAAAAGGGGGAGCACACATCAAGTGGGGGCTCCCATTCGATTCGACTCCCCTCCTCTACGAAGGCCACGCCACGCCACGACCTAAACTGTCACGGGGCACGGGGGACATTGGGGGACCACATTCCAGCAGCCTGTTGTCATGACAATGATACAAGTCCAGCTAATACTACAACTGGGAACAAGTGTAACAGTGTTCCAATGCTTCCAAAGTAGTTTCAAGCAAGGCTTCTGTCACCCAAGAAAAGCATTAGAAAGGGTGCTTGCAATAGAAGATCACAATGAAACAATGTGAGAGTGCGAAGAACAAATATGCATTAGTTAAGCGAACTGTGTAAGTTTAAGCTTAATCTCAACATGTTACGCTAAATGTAAAGAGCAAAAGAACCATGATGACATTTATTCTTAAACAATTGTAAAAGTTAATGTTTGATACACAACCAATTAGTTATAGCAAATAATGTAAGACTGTTCACGCTCCTGAGCAAAACCGTAGAGTTAAGACATGCATTAGAAAGTCAGTAAAACTATTTCAGATATATAACAAATTAACGGAAGAGCAAGCCAAAATATACTTTAATACAGCTGCAAAGAACTGTCCTAAAGACCCAAAGAGCCTAGGAGAAACTTCCAACATGCATCAAAGTTAATAAACAATTTCCCACAGCAGAACTACTGAACTTAAGGAACTACATGAGGGGCCAACCATCCAGCTAGAATAATTTGGTGGCCCACGTCACAAAGTGGTTCTCAGCTCCGTGTGCAACACCTGAAGGCACTCATCGCACCTGCTCATAACCGATATGTTCATTGTAAAGATTTTAAACGAAAACTAACCTTCGTTTACACGTCCTCTCCTTGGCATGGTGTCTGGAGGAGGCCTGCCTGCCTCGGCTATATCCGCCATCCCACGAATTTCACACTGCATTCTGGAGCACTCTCTTTATCGGTCTGGATTGAAGATTCACTAAGACAGGTCACAAGTGTTTTCACTTCACTTCACATGATCACTGCAGGCAAAAGAAACTCCATCTGCCGCCCCGCTCTCGCTCCCAGCGTTCTTTGTTTGCTTGAAGTTACCCACTCCACTTTCTACTCCTTCCACACCGCGCGTTTGAAAGTTTTGGTGGTGGGGGTTATGCCAACCCGACAGAACCATGGAAAGACCAGAACGAATTTTATATCTGGGTTTTGAGATAAGTAAATGAGTGTCATATCGGTACTAACTTAATATCGGTTCACTTGAGTTAAAAATAACCAAATTGAAGAACTTGTACCTTGCGAGTTGGGTGCTTTTGCTTCGCAGAACAGCAGTTGGTATGAAAGAATGATTACAACGAGACTACAAGCAAAGCAACGCGGGGTATTCGAAAAATTGCACTATGAGAAGTTTATTTGCACGCAATCTCATCTATGAGATCTGACAGTTTAATTATGGAAGAGTAGCGTGGTTGACGGGGCAGAAATAAGCTGCAAGATTTAATTAATGAGTTTTCAGTTTTAAACGATTTTGTTTCTGTTGGTTGATTTGCTTCCAAGAAAAACATGAATTTCCTTTTAAAAACAATCTTTGAAGTTCAATTGTGTACATGAACTTTTCATATAAACAGTTGTATAGCCTCCATACGTGGACTCACCTCATACTCTATTGAGGAAAAATACAAAGTACAGTCAGCCCACAAATCCCAGGGAACCATAACCTAATTTCTCCAAGTTACCAGAGGTTACATCAACTTCATCATGTTTTGAAATTATTTCGAGTAAACATCAATGTCACGCCCAAGACTGTTTACAAATAGCTACTATACGATTGATTGCCTCTTCTAGAGTGGAAGAAATCTAGAAACTAATTTGTATTTATTCAGAAAATGACTATATCGGAATACGTAAGCTCCCTGTCCGATAACCCGTACTTCGGGGCCGGATTTGGTCTCTTCACAGTTGGAGCAGCCGGGGCAATTTTACGTAAAGGGCTTCAAACATCCTTAATTCTATTTAGAAGACACTATATGACTACGATGGAAGTTCATTGTCGAGACAAAAGTTATCAATGGGTCTTGCAATGGATGACTGAAAAAGGAGCGAAGCAAACACAACATTTAAGCGTTGAAACAAGTTATGAGCAGTTAGATTCTGGTCATGTTAAGACCAAATACGATTTTATCCCTAGTGTAGGTCAACATTTCTTCAGGTAAGAATTTATGAATCAGCTCTTTTAACTTCATGCTATTGTATTTTGATCAGAGATCCACTAATGTCAAGTATTCTGTGCAGGTACCAGGGTACATGGATTAAAGTTGAAAGGAGTCGAGACCAGCAAACAACAATGCTTGATACACCTTTTGAAACTGTAACCTTAACTGCTCTAAGTAGGGATAAAGGAATTTATTTTTCAATTCTTGAAGATGGTAAGGGATAAATGTTGTACTTTTTGCACTAAGATTTGAAGATTTGCTGCTTTATTTCACCGCTAGGAATTTATTATGCAAGTGCAATATATTCTTAATTATTGATTCTTCTGTTTGACCAGCTCGGAAGATGGCTCTTAAGAAAGAAGAGGGCAAACTTGTGATGTATACTGCAATGGGTTCTGAATGGCGCCCCTTTGGTCATCCAAGAAGACGGAGACCCATAACTTCAGTTGTTCTTGACAATGGTGTTGCAGATCGAATCCAAAGCGATGTTCAAGAATTTATTTCAAATCCATCTTGGTACACAGAGAGAGGTAAATGTTAAAACTTATCTTGAATTATCTCCTCTTTATATTTATTTTACTACTAGTATTTTCACAGGTATTCCATATCGTAGAGGCTATCTTCTCTATGGTCCACCGGGCTGTGGAAAGTCTTCATTCATCACAGCATTGGCTAGTGAACTGGATCTTAGTATTTGTGTGCTCAATCTGAGTGAGAGATCTCTTACTGATGACAGGTTAAATCACCTGTTGGCTGTTGCACCACAGCAAACTATCATTTTGCTGGAGGACATTGATGCTGCTTTTATCAGCAGGACGGAGTCAGATAAAGGTAATAATTAAACATTATCATGTCTTTGTAGAATCTAAATTAATTTCTATTTTGTAAATTTTCTTAAATCCATAAAATTAAAAAAAATATATCAAAACCTTTTTTACAGTTGCAGCAGCATATGAGGGTTTGAATAGAGTTACACTTAGTGGACTTCTCAATTGTTTGGATGGTGTTGCCTCTACAGAAGCACGTATAGTGTTTATGACCACAAATCATTTAGAAAGGTAAGATTCATTCATTTGAAAATTGGCAGTGTAATGGAAAGATTATTACAAGTAAAGCTGTTTTTCTAAAATTTGAATTCTTATCATCTACAGGCTTGACCCTGCCTTAATAAGACCTGGAAGAGTAGACCTGAAAGAATTTATTGGCCACTGCAGCCCTAATCAACTCAAAACTATGTTTTTGAGATTTTACAGTGGTCAAGGGATGGAAGAAAAGGCAGAACTATTTGTTGAAGCAATAGTGAAGGCAGGGAAACAAGTGTCTCCTGCTCAAGTTCAAGGCTACTTCATGTTCTTTAAAGATGATCCAGAGGCAGTGTTACTAAATGCTCATAGATTACAAGAACTATTATAGAATTAGAACTTCAAGAAAAAATTTTATGATGAATTTCCTCAGGATTTAAGAAACAAAAATTATCTTTGGAGGCTCCAGTGGATTCTTTCTGGCAGTGTAAGCATCCAGTAGTAACTTTCTTACGGGTGCTTCAGTAAAAAGTTTGAAACTTGTGTCTGACAGAATGTAAACTTCTGGTATTGTAATATATTTAAAGTACTCTATGACGACTAACCTTGACATACTTTATGCAGTATATTTTATGAAACTCTATGATTTTTCGTCTTTAGTTCCTCATACATAAGGTGAATGATTCACGCCGCCCAGTTACATAGACTGAGACGACTGCACAGTTAATGGACGGTCTGCTTCTCTTGGGCCGTAAATTGTCAGTGTCAGTATAACATGTATGTGGACGGGGTGAATCAGCCGCCTGGTATGTTTAGTTAGTTTTCATTTGCACACATTTCTTAACTTTGAATTGTTAATGAGTAAAGCTTTCCATTATAATATTCTTTGGTTGACTGTACACAAATGTACTGAAATTTATGGAACATTTCCAGATGAGCTCAGCTTCCTTATACTTCTTCAAACTTCGCCTGGTTCACAGCTAGGGCCCCCGAAAACAAAACGGTATTCAACTTGGAATTCCCTAGACCACAAAGTGCAGATTAAAAGCAGCAGGAAAGCTCAAGGTAAACTAAGACAAATGATTAAAGCAAGACAGGCCCGGTTATGAAAGTGAAATTGATTAGGACAGTGCTTTAGAGGATGCCTGGTGTCCCTTCCATATTTCAGTGCACCTGGGCACCCTGCTCCAGCCCTGCTCTGTGTCCTCTCACCCATCAGGCGCCCCCTAGCTGCCCCCGGCTCTGCGCTCGTCGCGTGAGGCCGGCCGCTGCCCCTCTCCCTCCACTCCAGGTCCTGCGGCCGCGTGCTCGCGAGCAAGGGTAAGTCGAAGGAGAAAGGGCCAACGGCGTGGCGTACCTCTACCTACCTGCCTACCCGCGCCGCCTCGCGCCCCTCCTCTCCCTGCCCCCCGGGCCAGGAGAGATAGGGCACGATAGAGGCGCCCCCGCGGCCCCCGCCCCCTCCTATCACCCCCGCCCCGCCGCGCCACGCCGCGCGCTCCAGTCCGACTCCGACGGTCTCAGTGCGCGGCGAGGCGCCGGCCAGGCAACACACCCCCCGGGACCCGACCGACCATGGCGCCGTGTAGCTCCGCGCGCCGAGGCGAACGTCGGCACGCAGCCCCGCACGCGAAGCACGTGACCGTCACCGTCACGTGACAGCCGCGCGGCTCGGCGTGACAGCGAGGCGTGACGTTAGCGGCGATCGGTGGGGAGACTATAGCCCAGCGACCTAACTGCAGCGGCGCGAGAGGCATCAACAGGGGTCGACCTGGCGGCCCTGCGACTCAACAAGGGCAACATGAGAGGCGGCCTGGCGCTGGCCTCCTCGCCCTCCGCCGCCCCAGACCAGCGCCCCGGAGTCCAGGGCGACCCAGCCAGGGACGGCCTCGGCCGCCACCATGGTGAGTATGTCGTGCAACAGGCGCCAACGGGGCGCCGCCGCGCCCGGCCCAGTCGCGAGCTGGGGCCGCCGGGGAGGAAGAGGCAGTTGAGTAGGCACCATCCCGGCTGCCATGTCCTTTACGGAATAATTTATTTGTGAAATGTGTCCGTGCTCCTGGCCGGAGACATCTTTATTGGACTGCGCGGCGTCCCTGGCGGCGGGACCTTGGCGAGGGTCTGAGGGTCTCGTGAGGGGCGGTATTGTATTGCATTTCACATATTGCATTTTGCCTCGGGCGGAGGGCCGGACCGGACGCAGCCGGCTGGTCTCGGCGGGGACCTTCCCAAAGAAAATTAACGAATGCGCGGACCCTTTTTTATTTTTTCCCCGGCGCTATAGTTGCGTCGGCGACAACGGCGTGTGGTGTCAGCTAGCGGTCACTAGACTCGCGCGCCCGCCGCCGGCACGTCGCCCGGACGTGGCGCGGCGTGGCGCCAAAGGCTGCTTACACACACCCACACACAGTCCTGCGCAACGGCCAGCAGCGCGTAGGCGTAGCAGCGATCCGCGGGCACTTCCGCCTTCACCGGACAGCCTGTCGGGCACGTGACTCTGAGATCTGCAAAGTATTTCAGTTTTCGCGCCCTTTCTTTGAATACTACACTCACTGCTGTGCCCACCTTTCACCAAGTGGATACGTGGCCTGGTCCTCGTTCTCTCAAGTCAGGAGGGGATACGTGCACCCGCCTCGCCTAGGTCACGGCCTGGTCTGGTCTAGCTGCGCCTAGTTTGCGCGGCGCTGGCTGGAAGCAATCCAACTGCAGACACCTATGAGTGTCGTCACAGCAGACGGCGATCCAACAAACCCATCCATCAGACGAGGACGGTGGCCGTGTCGGGGAAGTGTTGAGCCTGGGTATGTATGGGGAAATCGTCTCGGCCACGTGGCCACCCTCCTCGGGGTGCTCCCCCGTGGCGCGGCCCGCCGCTCTGACCTGACCCCGGCGCGACGGTGGGTCGCGGGCGGCGGGGGCGGCGAGAGGAGGGGGAGGAGATGACGATGGTATTTGCTGGCAATTTCCCCCCGCGCAGAAAGTCTCGTCTGGGCTCCTCCAGACCCGGGCGGGCGCGGCGCGGACTGCCGGGGCGGGAAGGGAACCGCCATTTGGCGCTGGATGCCCGCCTCTCTCTTGCGGGGGAGGGGAGACGGTCCAGCTCTGCACAGCCACGGTGGTGCAAGGCCAGCAGTAAGTAGGGGTATGCAGCGCAGTCTACACCAGAAAGAGGGGGAGGGGAAAAAACGACGGCGGGGAGTTAAAACTGCCTGGTGCATGCTACGTTCAGCGACGGGAGGGAGGCGACTGTCGGGGGAGGTATGGGTGGTTGGGTGGTATGGGCTGCTTGGACGAGCTTGGGCCTGCCGTTCGGCCCGCCGGCTCGCCGCGTTTTGTGTAGCGGAACATAGCGGTGACAATCGTCAGCAGCACCGGCGCAGCTTGGCGGGCTGGCAGGTGCTTCTGCGGGCTCGGCGGTAGCAGTCGGTTCACTTGGCAACCATGCCTTATTCAGAGGGGTGGAGGTGAGAGGAGGGGGTCGCATGCATACATGTCCCGCAAAGAGAGAGCAGCAGCAGCAGCAGCAGCAGCAGCGGCGCAGCGGGAAGGAGGAGGACCTCGCCACCGGAGAGAGAACTCACTCCAGGACTCCCCCGCCGCTCTCCTCTGGCTGCTCTCTTCCAGCAAGTGCCACGCTTTTTTATCCCATCTTCCAGGCGACTTGTTTCCTTTGAGCAGCAGCGTCGTTTTCCCCGCATGTGTTTTTTCTCGTCGTCTTTTGCGCTCCGCAGGGTTGGGCCGCGGGGATGGTTTGGGGCCGCAGGGTCCTCACCGCAAGCCCACGCAGGTGTCCCCCCTCCCCCCTCCCTCTCCGAGCTGTCGTCCTCCCCCGAGAGCGCCACCTGAGCGCGTTATTAGACTTCATGCACGCCGACTGGAAATGGAAATGGAATCGCCGTCCTCTCCTGCTCCGCTCCACAGAGAGGGAGATGCGACCCCTCCTCTAGCAAGGGGGCGGGGAGGAGGAGGAGGTGGAGGGGGGTGGGATTGGCGTCCTTCAACGGGAAACTCGGGCTGATGCGCCTCGCAACGCCGTGGCTGCTCGGCAGACCGCGACATAATACACTCGCCAAATCGCGCGTTGCTCATCCAGGGTCCCCCACCCCCATGCTACCACATCCCTCCCCTCTCTCTCTTCCCTCCCTCTCTCTCCCCTCCCTCTCTCTCCCCTCCCTCTCTCTCCCCTCCCTCTCTCTCCCCTCCCTCTCTCTCCCCTCCCTCTCTTCCCTCCCTCTTTCACTCTCTCGCACCCCACGACGCTTACGTACCGCGAGGAGACGAGGGAGGGAGAGAGAGAGGAGACGCAAGCAAAACGACGTGGCGAATGGTGCATAAAATCGCCACGCTTGTCTCACATCTGTGATGGCGAAACTTCTGCCAGCCTTGGACTCGACCTCTCCCCTGCCCTCCCTCCCCTATCGCCGCTGGGCCGTGGGCCGTGCACGCCCTCCGCCCCCGCCCCCTAGTGTGGCGGGGAGGGCAAGACGGCGGTGTAATGACGGCTATCCCGGATCGAGTTGCGGGTTGCGGTGGGGCCGTGGGGCTGGGGAAGGAGGCGGGTCCTGAATCCAACCCCTTCCCTTCCCTTTCCACCCCCCACCCCCCAGCGGGGGTGTTTTCTTCATTCCAGCTATTAACCCGGTAATGATCGCGGGCTTCACTACCGGGTTCCCTCCGCTGCTGCCCTGGGTCGAGCCGATGGGCGCAGGTTACCCCTTCCTCTGTCCACCCTTCCACCCTCACCACCCCGCCCTTCGCAACCCCTCAAACATCCCCCTTCGCCCTCGCCGCCCCGTCGCGCCCTGTAGCCTTTGGCTGGAGCAGCCTTACCTTGACTCCACTAGATTCGAGATAGACGAGGTGGTCGCTTGGTCGCTGTTTAGTCGCTCGCGGCGGCGGCGCGCTCCAGTCCAAAGGCGGCTCGGGCCTGGCTGGCCTGGCCGGCCGGGCTGCCCCAGGGCTTCCTCCGCCTCCCCCGCGATCCCCATAACTCAGCGCAAGGCGCCCCGCTCGGCCGCGCCACAGTCGTATGCACGGCCCCGCCCGCCCCTATAACTCACGGCTCCAGGCCGGGTACCCCTCACTATGCAGGATGGCTCCGTTTGGCCATTTTGGCTCAACTTGTTCAGTCTGACGCCGCGGCGCCGTTATACCGCCCTCGTGCGGGCCGCGGGGGGAGACGCCGTCGCACACACACGACGCACGCATGCATGCACACACGCTCGCACGCACGAACGCACAAGGGCAGCATGCCCTATCATTTCCTGTTTTCGTCCCCTCTTCTTTTCTTTCTTGAGATTGGGCTCTTCTGCCGGAGTCATCTCTTCGCATTGACATCGCCCTAAGACATGTTTGAATGCCTCCGCCTTCCCCCCGGGAGCCGCCCCGCCCCCGCCCGGCCGCTGTATTCTCCGGCAGTCAGCACCCGCCCCATTCTGTAGACCAATTTGGACTCATTCCAACGTCTTCTTTGAATCATCCCGCGCCCAGCAGCGCCCGTTGTGGGGGACGCGCTCGTGAGGAGCGGCGCGGACAAGGAGGGCCATTCGCAGGCCATCTTCAGGTCCGCTGCTGTGGGAGCCGCTCCCTCCACCAGCCGCCCGCACCACGCGCGCGCCAGGGCCATGGGGGCCGTGACGATGTCGTTTCGCGTCCCGGCAGCTCTAGCCAGTGCCGAGTACGTACTGCCTGCGGCTCTGTCCTCGGGGCGCTGCATTGAAGGGGGTGGAGCCGGGTGGTGGTGAGTAGCTGGCGTGGCGTCGTAGGCCTGGTGGGTGCTCGGCGGCGGCCCTGCAGCTAGTGGCGCCCGCCCCGCCCCGCCCCGCCCCGCCCCCGCCGAGGAGGGCTGTAAGGAAGGGGGTCAAACCGAGCATTACCATTTCGCCCGCCCCTTCCCGCCCCTGCGCTCCCTCCTGGTAAAGGGCGGCGCGGGCACATGATCCCGGCTGGTCCTAAGCCCCGTCCTCGCCCCCTTCCCTTCCCCTCCCGGACTATCGCCTTCGACGTCACCCGTGCCCTCCTCAAAACCCTCATCCCCTAAACCTGCAACAGTCCCGGCTCCCCTCACATCAGCCGACCCTGGCATGCCCCACAGCCCGCCACAGCCTCGAGATGAGCCTCTCGCTGTCGTGCAACGGCTGCCCCTCGCTACACCCCCCTCCCCCCCTGCCTTGTCCAACCCTCACGCTGACCTTCATGTGTTTTGCTCTCTTGCAGAGTTTCCCTTCTCCTCACGCCCCTGAGCGGACGGGTGCCTCATGTAAGTACCACACCCAGCGTGCTGCGCGGCCCGGAGGGTTGTCAGCCCGTGATGAGGGGCACATCGGGCGCGCCGTCTTACTGCCGCCGCCTGCGCCGCCCGCGCAACCTTCCATATCGGGAGTTGGGGAGGAAAGGGGGAGGGGGGGGGCGAGAGCAAGGGACTCCCGGAGATCAGATCGCATTTCTTGCGCCATAACACCGAGACCTCCCCGTGCCGGGCTCGCCTGCCGGGCAGTACACGGCAGGGCAGCGGGCGCCTCCTCCCCCGTACAGAGTCCTCCTCAATAAGAATCGGAAGAAATCGACGGAATGTACTCCACAGGGGCTTCTGACTGAGAGAGCAAGCGCCCCAGAGTTTATCCCCCGCCTCCTCCTCATCCTCCCCCCCGTCCGCCCCCCTCACCCCGCACATCCCGCCTCTCCTATTCCCTATCGAACCTCGGGAAACATCAAAGCAGCAGTTGATGTTGTTCGTTCGGGTGTGCTGCCCATTTACATCCCAGACGGGACGTCACTAGACTAGAGACTCCAGCACTGCACTGCGCGCGAACAAAAAAAAAAGCTGCCTTTTGTTCCGCGGGGGAAATAAAAATATGATTTGCGGTCGGCTGAAACCTTCTCTGTAGCCTAGAGTTTCGCAATC